GGATGTCTGCTTCTTAGTGTCAGGCAGAAAAGAGGCTCTGACCAACTTACTTTGATTGACCAAAAGGAGGAAAAATCTGCCTTGCAACAATCCTCCTTCCCAGGGCACTTTTTAGACCCTGGGAAAGGAAAGAGTTATTCTAATAGAATCAGTCCTTGTTGTTTTCAGTGTGCTGTCCAGCTATCTGGAAATATGCCCAATCTCCATTTAATTGGGAATGTAATCTAGTCAACCCCTGGGAGTTCTCTTTGCATAATTTTTTAAAACTATTTTGCTGTTTGTTTTTTGAGGGGCGGGGGAATAGATTTGAATCCCACCAGAGTCTTGCAATATAGTCCCTGCCTTCATTTCTGAAAGATTTCTTTCTCTTCAATTCCAGTTGTATTTTATTATTGATTTATTGATTAGATTTATACCCTGCTGTTATTTGTACATAATGCTCCCACTTCTTATTTTCTTTGTAACTAGAGCCTTATGATGTAGAGAGAGTAACTGGCTCACTCAGCCAGCTTTAATGGAGGACTAGAAGTCTCTAGGTCACCATCTTATCTCACCAGGCTGGCTCTGAGGATGGCCACTTATAGTCACCCCAAAAGAATAAGTTAGCAAATTCTCAGCGATCCCATTATTAACCCCAACCGTGAAAGAGTTTTGAGAAGCTGCTTTGTTTTAAGTCATCCATGTGCAGTAGTGTGAAATAGCTATATGTAACGAAGCTGAGTTGTGGAGTCAAAAGTTTGATTAGTTTAGACCAGTGGTTCCCAAACTTTTTCAGTCCACCGGCCCCTTGGTGCTACAAACTCATCCTCAATGCCCCCCACCCAGGGGCGGGATTCAAATTTCTGTGGGTGTGGCCTAATTTGAGGGTGTGGTTTGCTGGTAACGTGATTGGGTGGGTGTGGCTTGCTGGTCACGTGACTGGTGGCATGGCTTGCTGGTCACATGACTGGCTGAGCGTGGTTTGGTGACTGGCAAACCAAATACAAGTGGTCCTCACTTAATGGCCGGTTGCTTAGCAAGTGTTCTAATTTATGACTGGCCTCTCCAGAACTACTTGACCTGTTTTTGGAGTTTTGACAGCCATGCATACACATATACACATACTCCCTTCCAACCAGGGGTGGGATTCTACCAGTTTGCACCTATTCGCTAGAACTGATTGTTAACATTCTAAGCAGTTCGGAGAATTGGTTGTTAGAAGAAATTACTGGCGTAATCCTGTAAGGAAGGCAAGAAGGAAACATTCTGGTGTTGCTTACAGAAACTGCCTCTCCATTAACCCTTATTACATTCTTGGCAGGACTAGACTCCTGTCTCAGAAACTTCTCTGGTGTTTTTTTCCCCCTCCTTTGCTAGTACTTTGCTTGTGTGGAGTGACCATTCAAAGTTACAACGGCACTGAAAAAAGTGACATGACCATTTTTCACACTTACAACTGTTGCAGCATCCCCACAGTCATGAGAGGCCAGGCGAGGAGATGCATGCCTCGATGTGAGTGATATTGAGTTGGCCACACCCAGCCAATAACATGACCACCAAGCCACACCCACCCAGTCACATGACCACCAAGCCACGCCCACCAACTAAGCCACTCCCACAGAACCAGTTGTTAAAAAAATTGAATCCCACCCCTGCTTCCAACCCTACTGGAGCAGGTCATTGGACTAGAATCGGCAAAGCATCTCTGATTAGATTCTAGTAGTGAATAAAATCTAATCAGAAATGCTTTGCTGATTCTTGTTGATTTGTTTTATTTGTATTTCTTTATTTTATGTTGCTGAATTGCATTGACATGTGTGTCCCTTCTTGTGCACAACCCAGAAGCTTTTGTGATTCTTTGCAGCACAAATTACCGACCTCTGGCTTTGCTCTACTTTTCAAATGCCGTGTTCTAGGTGATGGCCCCACAGGTCCACCCCATTGAGCCCGTTGCACTGGAGGGACCTGCCCAAGCAAGTCCGAGTGGAGCGGTGCACCAAATCAATGGGGTGAGCCTGGGAGAAGGAAAGAGAGAGAGAGAGAAAAGAGAGAAAGAGGGAAGGAAGAAAAGAAAGAGAAAAGGGAAAGAAAGAAAAAGGGATAAAGAAAGGGAGGCATGGAGGGGAGGGGGGGAGAGAGGGAGAGAGAGAGACCTGATGCATCAGATTGAAATGAGGCCTAGTTTAGCGGCCCTTTTCCACATTGAAACATCTTTGCCAGCATCTTTGCCAGCACATTGAAACATCTTTGGCTTCTATTAATTAAAGGTTTTGTGGATGAAACATGGTCAAGACTTTCAGGAAGCTCTCACATTTTAGTTGAGGCTTTAAACAGGATCCATTGGACCAGATCTCCACCCTAAGAAATTACTTTTCCCCAATGTATTACAGCGCCAATTCTGAAGAAGGCAAAACCAAAATGTACTGGTAAATTACAAGGAGAACACACACACACACACACACACACTCACTCACTCACTCCCTTCTAACCCTGCTGGAGCAGGTGATTGGACTAAAATAGATATCTCATTATCTTTCCCCTCCCTCCCTCCCTTTTTCTTTATTTCTTTTTCTTTCTGTCCCTTTTCTTTCTCTTCTTCCTTCTCTCTTTCTCTCTCTCCTTTTCTCTCTCTCAGGCTCACCCCATTGACTTCGTGCACAGCTCCGTTCGGACATGCTTGGGCAGGTGCCTCTGGTGCAAGGGGCTCAATAGGGTGGAACATGGTGGCGGTGGGATGTTTGAAAAGGAGAACAAAGCCACTCTGGCTTTGCTCTCCTATTCCCAATGCTACGTTTGGGGCGACGCCCCACCGCCCCAAACACGGCGGCAGCGGGATGTTTGAAAAGGGGAGCAAAGCTCTCCTTTCCCAACGCTGCATTCGGGGCAACGCCCCCGCCACCCCAAACACGGTGGTGGGATGTTTGAAAAGGAGAGCAAAGCCACTCTGGCTTTGCTCTCCTTTCCCAACACTGTGTTTGGGGGGCGGAGCTCCTTGCACCAGAACATGCAAGTCAATGGGATGATTCTGCGGGGCGGCGGAGGGATTTTTTTTCTCACCCCTGAATTGTGCCCTGCCGCTCACCTCCAGCACCCCCCTGCCGCCTCTTAGCGCCCCCCGGCCAGCCCCCTTGCCTCTCAGTGCCCCCCTAAGGCATCCCACCGCCCCCCAGGGGGCAGTACTGCCCACTTTGGGAACCACTGGTTTAGACAGCACACTAATGTAAATAACTTTTGCTGATAATTTATTGAATTGTCAATAGTAAGTTGGATTTACATAACATCCTCACCTAAGACCAAATAAACCTCTGCATGGCTTAGGATATTGCATAAATACATGAATGGGGATAGAAGTACACTTGGTGATGTGAAACAACAAAGTAGATAGATGGACAATCAATCTGTGAGGTTGCCTCTTCCCCTTTTCCTTTACAAACTCCAGTGAAATGCACAAGAGCCTCACAAGAGCTCCATGTCAGCTGGATCTGAGGACAACTTCCTAGTAACGTGTGTTGTGCTTTTGTGCAAAAGGCAATTTTATATTTCTTCCCTCGTGCATGAGATGAAGGAAGTGAAGCATGAGTTTTTTTGTGGAAGTGGTAGACTTCAGTTAGGGTGGTAAGGCTAGCCCCCCCCCTCCCTAATTTCAGTTCAGACTTCCAATTTCGATTCAGAATTCTATTGGAATTGTTTTCCTTCATCTGTTTCTTTCAGGAAGGGGAAAGCAGAGAGGCCTTTTATTTTGTTTTTCATTAATCAGCATTTCCTTTAGTGTCCTATGCTCCATTCTGTTCCCCCTCCCATGATTTATGGTAAGGCAAGGGCAGCAGGTAGCCAAACCTTCCGACCTCCAACTCATTTGTCTGGAGGGGCTGGGCTACCTGTCACCTCCTGTCAAGAGAGAGCGATAAATGGTCTCTTGTGGTAATTAAGTGGGGGTGGGGATGGAGGAGAGAATAGGGGCGAGGCATGGTGTTGATAGCAGGACTGATTGGCAAGAAAGCCAAAGAAGAAATTATACTCAGTGGTATGTACAAAATTATATGCAGTGGAATGTAGAAACGAAATATGATTTGGTAGCAGGAGTTGAGCATTGATTTGAATTTTCCCTCAAATTCTCGTGGATCCTCCTCCCTGACTTTAATCCCAATTACTTGACTGAGGTCAGAAAGTCGCAGAGTGTGTCTCCTCTTCTCCCAATAGTTCTATGTGATAGTTGTGCTCCTGTAATAGCTTCAGTAGGTATGTTTGCCAGCAGCATTAAATTAAGAATCATAATAGGTAAGGTGGAGTTTGTTCAACTTAAACTTTTGTTAACTTTTCTCTTTGCTAAATAATTTAGTATGGTTAAATATATTTTGTTATGGCTGTAAAAAGATTAAGCCACATTCTTTTCTAGTCTCTTCAATTCCTTTTATATATATTTTAGCAATACCTATTAAAGAATGATCTTTATTCTGTGTGGATTAAATATAATAAAAGCACTTAGGGTGTAAACAATACAAAAAGGGCCAAAGTTTAGCAAACTGGCAAAAAAAGAATACTGGAATGTAAGTCCTTGTCAGGATGATGGAATTTTTATTTTTTTATTTTGTACAACAGCAAAAAAATAAACTCTCTTTCACTTCCTTAAATTGTTCAACAGGAATAACGTGGAATATATTGGCCATAGACATCTTATCTATTGGGGTATACCTTTTGTAAATAAAAATAAATGAAATATTTGTTTGTTTGTTTGTTTGTTTGTTTGTTTATTTATTTATTTATATGTATATGCCAAATAAATCTATATAGATTACAAGATAAAATGTTAATCAAGGTCTTATATAAACAGAAATGTTTTCCAACATTGTAAGAATTATGTCTTTTTATGTATATATATTATTTGGACTAAAAGTTCTGGCTATATCCTTGTTTGAAAAAAAAATCACTTCTTTATGACTGCTAATCATTTGAATACAGTCTGAGTTTGTAATGCAGACCCTTGCATCTTTTTGCTTACTGTTTCCTTTCTCCTTCTACAGCTCTGTCACCACTTTGCACCGAGGACCTTGCAGCTTCTCCTCCATGCTTCTTTTAGAAGATCTGTTCCCAAAGATTTCTGAAATATTTTTGAAAACTTGAGGATCCACTCAGCTTGCCTGCAGAATTTTCTGAACATATTTCTTCTGCTTAACTTTGGCCTGAAATTACACTGATTTTGTATCAAGTTTTGATGGTTCTGGACTGCTCCTCTATATTAAGTGCTCTGCATTCAGCCCTTATGTGAATCTTTTTTTATCAACGGTCAGGCCTGTGGATTGTGCCAGCTATGGCAAGCAACAGTAGCTCCTGTTCTACACCAGGGAGTGGACATCTCAACAGCTACCCAGTTCCTCACTATTTCTTCTTTCCCCACATGATTGGAGGCCTCTCACCTCCAGGAACTCTGCCTGGAATGCAACACCAGCTGCCAGTCAGCGGGTACAGTACACCTTCACCAGCTAGTAAGTAACCAAATTCAGGAGCCACGTGGTTAGTAGGGGAGAAGGTGGGATGATGCACACTTAGGATGAAGAGGCTCTTCCTGTGTTAGAGCAGATTTGAAAACACCATCACAGTTTTGGTACAAGCACATCTTTTTGTGTTGAATAAAGGAAAAATGATCTTTGAGCAATGTATTTCATAAGTGCTCTGTTCTGTTACAATTCAGGTGACAACTTGTGGAAGGAATTATGAGCTATACAAGCTATTTTTGGTTTCCCTACACTTTTGAGATCCTGAGTTGTATTGTCTTCCTCATCTAGCAACTCCAAAATGGGTCTAGCAGTGTTGTCTCTGCTAGTGAGCATGTTTTTTTTAAAGCTTAACATACTTCCTGAATGCTACAATTGAAATGCTGGCTTCTTTTTTAATTTTAAACTTTTGGTGTATGTTTAATTAAATTCTGTAATATTCTAGGATACTGTTTCACCATTTCCTAATTAAATAAAAATAGAATTGGCCATTTATTTATTAAATCAGTGGTTAGGTGACTTGACACATGTCTTTTAAAGCTTTTTTAAAAATCAAATGTAGGAATTTCTTCAGCTTCAAAATGCGTTTGGAACTCTATGGTTTTTATAAATTGGATACTTCGTACTGACATTCAAATTTTCTCACAGATATACAGTAATTGGTATACATTATAGAAACAGCACTATTGCTAAATATCTTAGTTTTCTTATCCCACTTCCATCCTGAATACATATCTATTATTCTTTTTATCTGACTTTTTTTACAATGATCTTAAAAAATGATGTGAACTCATAACAACTCTGTGGGTCAAGTTAGGCTAAGAATTGCTGAATTCGTATCTGAAAAACAAAGTTAATTTTGAATGTTATGTCAAAACCAATTTATGTTCATCTCTATATGCAACCACACTAAAGTGTGATTGCCCTATTTGTTACAGAAGAGAATAAACTATAGTTGGCAGTCTTGGTGATTTCATTTTGAACCTTACTCTGTCATTCTCTTCTTGAGCAATTTTGGGCAAATTCTTGTTTCTCATGCTTGGTTCCTCTTTAGAACAAGGAATGACGTAGCTTTTGGGAAAGCGGTTAGGACAAATGAAAGATTGCACTTGTGTTTACAATTTAAAAGCTCAAGGGGTCAAAAATATAGTACAAATTTGAGTTTGAGAAGTTTAGAAATAAGAATTTTCACAGACAGATCTGGAGTTAGCTATTTTGGATAAATTAATTTCAGTTTTAGTGTGTGGGTATGAGAAGACATGTTGGTGAAGAAGATTTTTACAGTGGTTTTGTACAGCCTTGACCAGGGGTAGGGAAACTTGGCTCTTTTATCACTTATGGACTTCAACTTCCAGAATTCCTGAGTGAGCCATAAAAGGTTCCAATCCCTGGCCTACTGGTTTTTTAATTGTGGGGGAAATCAATTTTTGACTTGAATGGGACTGTTTAATATACAAATGTAGGACATTCAAGTCAAAAATTGATTTCCCCCACAATTAAAAAACCAGTAGGCCAGGGATGGGGAACCTTTTATGGCTCACTCAGGAATTCTGGAAGTTGAAGTCCATAAGTGATAAAAGAGCCAGGTTTCCCTACCCCTGGCCTAGACAGTTATTTAAGTGCATTTTTGGTTCTGCTCTGAAAAAAACTCCAAAAGAGTATCTGAATGTTATAGGGGTAAAAATGTGCATCAGGACTGATTCTATTCATGGAAAACAGAAAATGTTAGTTCTCCAGATCAATCTTCCCGCTATCACTTGAATTAAAAATAGCCAATTCCTGAGTTAAATTCTGCAGGAATCCTCTTCAGAAGTTTTGAAATATCCCAAATAAAAGGGTACATTGCTTGAAAATATATTTATGCCCATCATGACACCAGTGTTTTGCACATTTAGTGCAACACTTCTCCCTATGAGAATAGGTTCCGAAATGATAATTGTATAGTACAGTGTAGCATGATATGGTACAACATATGTGAGAAAAGCAGCTTTGGCAATAGTCGTAAAAGCAACCAGTGCAATTCAAAATGTGGTTGTCACCTTAAAGCCCTACACTGCAGATTCAGATTATTTGCTGAGTCACCTATCCACAATGATTGCACATTGTTTGGATTCCTTTGGTAAAGGGATGTCACCTAGTAAATACTGGAAATATATCTTCTTGTCATGGTGCCTGTCTTATGAAACAGGTTTCCTCCCAAGATGTGAATGGCCCAAACCATACTGGTCTTCAGAAAGGCAATGAAAAAGCCTATATCTTTTTCCACAGGCACTGGACCTAGGATATTAATGAAGCTCTGGCATAGTTATGTGTTGGTAATGAAATTTTTATTGGAAACTTGACTTTTTAAATCTTTCTTTCACCTGATTTTGCATTATGTAAGTCTTTATTTTGTTTACTGTCCAGAACATACCTAACTCTTACTATGAAAAATAGAATTGATGTCAAAATGTTACCAGATTATATTTATAGGAGTCTCAGCAATGTGGTTAAGTCATGAAATTATCCTGGTTATAATTTTAGTCCTGCTCCTAATGTTTTATTTGTTGTAGAAGAAGACCACAACAAACTGCAGAGTGTATCAAGCTGGGTAGAATGGAAAAGTATTGGTATACTGTCCTATTCCATCTATAAATGGTGTCTTTTCATGTCAGTTGAAAATCTCTGTATAAAAATTCACTTACCGTTTAATATTAATTCAATTCCCACCCACCTACGCACAAAACACCTAAAATATACGGCCAATCTTGAAAACCTAATGGAATTGTTTGGCACTTGGATGGAAGATACCAAGAAACCAGGGGTATGGACTAGTTGGGGGTGGGGAGGAAACAATCCTGAGGAAATTAATGACAAACCATTTCCTTATGTTACCTATATAGTCACATCCAGTTGAGCTTAATTTGAGGGTTTCTTTACCTTTCTCAACAGCTGGCAACACTTAGCAGATCTTGAAAAATAAGCAGGAGTCCCTCAGGTTGGGGGTCTACCTGGAATTCCAGATTTGCTGGCTAGACTTGGAAGAAAAACAAATCCTGGGAAAGGGAATAGCAAACTGAACCAATAATGCTGCAAGACAATGTGCATAATGCATTCAGTTGATTTATTTGTGTCATATTAATGATACCATATATATCCTTGTATTAAGAGCCCCGCCCAACCAGATATTTGGATGTTATACTTGTTGAAACACAAATATAAATATTTTTTATAGAATAGAATTCTTTATTGGTCAAGTGTGTGATTGGACACACAAGGAATTTGTCTTGGTGCATATACTCACAGTGTACATAAAAGAAAAGATACATTTATCAAGAGTCAATAATCATCAGGTACAACACTTAATAATAGTCATAGGGTACAATAAGCAATCAAATCATATATGGTTCTGTCATGGTGACCTATGGTCTACTAACCTGGAGACAATCTTTTGCAGAATGCAATTTTGCTTCTTAGTAAACCACTTGCATTGAGGATGACTTGTTGCAGCTGTTGAAGCCCTATGCTTCTTACAAGATCTCTGGTTTTGCCATAAGCTGCATCTCTTAATATATCTGGTGATGCCGCTGAGTTAAGTATAGGAACATCATTGTGTGACAAAAATGGAATTACACATAAGAGCTGAACAAGTGTTGTATTTTCGTTGAATAAGAATTAGAAAAGCATACACCCAAACCCAATATAATTGACACACAGTGTAATTCTTGAAATCTGTTTTAGCTTTAAGTAGCTTGTTTTTAAAATAAAGTTGAATTTATGTGTTTCTACTCACTTTGCTGTGGCATAATTGTTATACCACATCCCACATGCTCATTGTTACTTGATGAGCATTCTTAATTTGAGGGGATTCATGTTTTTCAAAAGTAAGAACATTTCTTGCAAAATATTAAAATTATGCATATTCCAGAGTTTCTTTTGTATTCTGCCTTGACTTTGACCATTGTTGTTTAAAAATGTTTCTAGTCCCAATAACTAGTAAAAAGATTTGTATGGATTTTTGTCCATATGCTCTGTTTTTCATTGAAAATATCCTCTGATCCTTCAGACCTGGGTATATTACTCTATCTGATGATCTCCAGTTTTCCCCATTTATTAGTAATAGAAAAATACAAAATTGTACAGTAGCATATTTTATAGAATAGTTCCCCCTTGTGATAATTATACAGAAGTTTTATTTTTTATTGATACCTTTCAAATTCTACATTTATTTAGGTGGTAAATAAATTTAAAAACAAGACTACTTGCACAGAGTAAGGTAGGACTCTGAAACCTATAAATAGATGACAATTACAATATGTAAATGAAATGTTGTTTATTCTTCCAGCAAATAATTATGAGACAGAATAAGAAGCTATGTAAAACATATTTGCTATAATGTATCTCTTAAGAATTGGAAATCATACTTAAATTTTGGCTAATAAAGTATTGCCATATCTTTTCAAGTTGATCTGCTCAGTTAAAAGTACCAGACCTTTTTTGAAACAATGAAGTATGAACTTTCATGTTTTTGCAGGAGTTGGACTTTTTCACTTCATAAGATTGAAGTAAACTTAACATCTCTTGAAGCTGGGAAGTTCTCTCTTTTTTGGGGGAGGGTTATTGTAATAAAAATGTTGGTTTATATATATACAATTTAAGAATATTTAGGATGTATTCAACATAAGGTTGTTGCAGGCCAGGATTCCAGTGTCTCGAACTTCCACAACACAGGGTAAGTATAGTATCCAAAGTGGTCTGGTTCAGACATTTTGCCTGAAGGTGAAGGCTGGAGTGACTTAAGACATGTTTTTTTTTTGCAGAGGGTTTTTGTACTCTGATAAAATGTGACCTGGCCCAAAGCTGGGGTAGTTATTGAGGAATGTTTTCTTACTCTCTAAAGCAGGGGTACCTTAACAACTTGAAGATTTGTGGTTTTTATGAAGGGATGAATTGGGTCTAGTAATCTTTAATCATTCCTAAACAACTATTTTATTTACTAAAAATTTTAAACT